GAGCCACATGTTGAGAGAGGTGATGTTTTCCTGGGGTTGAGCAGCACAGTTAGCATTGTGTTGGTCACAGACCATAAACCCAGCGGTGTTGGATGAGCTGAAGGCAGCACTGCGGCCTCCTCCTCTCTGAGGAAGTCCGCTCTGTTTGGGGCGAGCGTCTGCGTCTTTGAGGACAGATCAGGTTGAAGCTCAAAGTTCACATCTGGTTCGAGGATCTAATGTCTAACCTGAAGCCTTAACGAGGCGCTGCCCCACACCATCATACTTCCTCCACTGACAGCTGTTTGCTGTTGGCGGGGAGGATTTGGAAAGTTTCCATTCAACCCACTGAAGACTTTTCTCCCCAAATGTGGAAAAGATTCAGAGGAAATGAACAGGGAAGGATTCGAATACTACAGAGAATCTATAGACTGATGATTAATTTAATGATCCAAATCTCCATAGAAACAATTTGTAATTGTTTCCCCTTTGTTTTATTCTTGCCTCCTTGTGTTTGCAGTAAGAGCTCCGGCTCTGCCGCCTTCATCGGCCTGTCCTGGACCTGCCTTTTAATCCCTAAAGTGTTTTCTGCTCCAGAGAAACGAGAAGGACCCATCTGGAAGAAAATGGTCGGCAAATTTCTGTTGTTGTTTCTAAACTAAAGTGATATTTATCTGAGTCGGTTGGTGGTTAAATATTGGTCTGTTGGTAAAATGGCTGCTCCTCTGTCATCCGCTGCAGGTGGAGGTCCAGAGCCTTCTGGTGGCGGAAGTGGTGGGCGGAGCCAAAACCACAGCGAAGAAATCAAGCCTGAAGAATCTCTGTCACCTGTGGGAAGAGGTGGGCGACTTTTTCTACGCTTTTATTTTCTCTCAGCTGAAATAGTTTAACGTGTGGAAAGGCGACGGTCTGCAGACATGCAGGTTTGGCCGCAGCAGAAATCAGAGGCATGATCCAGAGAGTGAAGCTCCGCGTGGTTAAAATGGGACCAGATGTTTGATGAAAAATGTTTTACTGGGCAGAAATCACACGTCTGTGAGGAACATCTCAGAAAAGTCAGTTTCCTGCAGAACAGACTGATTTGATGCAAAGCTGCTCTTCTCTTTGATCGTCTCCACCATTTCTAAGCATATCTGCTCTTATTTTACATTGACTAGTCTTTCCAAAAAAGGTAAAAAACAATCCACTGGACTTTGTTTCCAAGTCTGAAGACGTCTCACTTCCCATCCAGGAAGATTTTTCAATTAAAAATGTCAGAAATAGCGTTTAGTTCCAGGTTTTTATGCAGTAGCTCAAAATAGCCTTCAACTCAACTAGGGCTGCAACTAACGATTATTTTAAAAATCGATGAATCGGCCAATTATTTTTTCGATTAATTGATGAATTGGACAAAAAAATTTTTTTATACTAACCTCTTTATTCCAAAATAAACATTTTAGACAGAACAAACAAGCACACAAGTACAGGTTGCTCATTAACTGGACTGGTGCAATATGAAAAATAAATGTTTGTGTTAAAACTACGCAAACTTACATGAGAAATGTAGCTGTACATCCACAAAATATAGGCTACATTTCTCATGTAAGTTTGCATAGTTTTAACACAAACATTTATTTTTCATATAGCACCAGGCCAGTTAATGAG